AAGTACGCTCTCCAGTATCGCATGATCTCTAGGCCAATGCTCTTCAAACTAAGAGTTGAGATCTATTAATGGATGGTGGAAATCCATTCAATGGGTCCTGACTAGCATTTTTTAACCACGATAAAAGTTCCTTCTCATATCAAGGTGAATCAGGCTCTGCATTCACCTGCTTTCACTGCCTCCCTCTGTTTGGAGCATCACATAAATAAGCCCACCACAGGCTACAGCTACTTCTGAGTTGCTGTGAAAGCAAATGTCCTGGTCTAGAAAGATATTTATGGCACTTGGTTGGGGAAATACAATGTACAACATTACCCCATTCCTGTGGATAAACAGAATAAATAAATATATTAAAGGGGAATAGTTGAAGTATGCAAAAGTGTTCAAGGAAATGTTAAAAGCAGTTATCTCTTGGTGTGTAGGGTTTGTGAGGACTTATGTTCTCTTTATTTTAAGATTTTTCTACATTAAACACGTGCTACTTGTATGAAGTCTAAAGTGTTGTTACTATTATATTATTATTACTCTTGCTACATGAAGGGCTCTCCTAGGGCCTTCATATTACCTGTGGTTACCAGGCTTAAATTATGGATAAAAGAGGAGATACAGACAGATGTCAGCATCATTTGATGCTGAATCTTTTAGGCCTTTAAGGCCCATATTATCAAAAGCTGTGGTGGGAGAACAGGTGACTAGATATCATCTAAATAAGTGATCAGTAGGTCACTAGAAAGCCGGGGAGGTTGCGGGGTGGGAGTGTGGAGAGCACAGACACAGGGGCCAGATAAACCTAAGCTCAAACTGCAACTCTGCTGTGACAAGGTGCCTTGTTGTAAGCCTCATCTGTAAAACGAGGATAAAAAGATGAACCTTGCAAAGTTCATCAAGTTCGAAGTGAAAAACTAGTCAATTCAGGACATGGTGTATGGTGTGGAGGAGGAACACAAAGAAAACCAAGGTCTTTCATGATCAGCGAGAGCAAGGAAGTCAAGGAAGGAGGCCAAAAGAAATAATCATACGTGCCTGTTACTGTTTCAACTTTTTAAATGGCCATTTCTTACGTGCAGAGAGGGAGGAAGCACCCACTCTCTGAGTGAGAGGGAAGTAGCAGCGCACGCACGCACAGCATACGGGCTGCCCTGGAGGCCCTGATTATGCCTCCTTGGCTGTGGCCTATGCTGGCTCTGCCAAGTGCTCTGGAAAATGCTTTACAGGGACAGTTATTATCCAGTCGTTCCCGGCCTCCCCCTCCCCCCAAGCCCATGGTGATTCCACAAATATCTGAGCACCGACCACAAATAAAGCACTGTCCTCGCACACAGATGAGAAGAGGGAAATGAAAAAGAGTTTAGTGTCGAAGTTTAAAGTACATCCACAGCCAAAATACAAAGAGTAATTTGGGACACATGCTTCAGGAGGGAAAATTAAGAGCTACAGGAGCATGTGCTGCCCGCTGGGAAACTAGAAGCTTCCTGGGAAAGAGGGCAACTCTGCTGCACCCTGAAGTCAGAGTATGGTTTTAGCAGGTTGTCAAAAGATAGATCCGCATTCCAGAGAGGGAGCAGCATGGGCAATGGCACAGTAACCCGAAGGCAAACGGTGTGTCTGGGCAGGAGCACCCACTTAGGCGAGCGTAAGAGATCTACTGAGGAGTAACTCTACAGACAACAGCAGTAACAATTACTAACCATGCCGAACGGGTATTAAAACAAGGAGTAGTGAAAGAAAATGGTGAGGACTCAAAAGTCAGGGTGACCTTCTGGCCTATTGGGGATGTGTTAACATTCCTGGCAGGGAAGTGACGTGATCAGAACTATGCTTCAGTTAGATTCATTTGGCTTTTATGAATGAGTCAAATATGCTGGGAGGGAGACATCAAGCCAGAGATCAGGAGGCTATTACAACAGTCCAAGTTCTGATGACTGGGCTGAGAGCGCGGCTGCAGTCATGCAAAAGAACAGAGAGGCACAAGCAAAAATCAATAAGTATGCAATCATATTAGCAATTCCCAGGATAACTGAACTCTAGTCCTAACACAAGCACAGATATCTGTATGAAAAATCGGGAGAGGTCAGCTCTAGTTCTTGACTTCTTATTTTGGTGCTCAATGGATGCCATTCCACATTCCACCAAAGAACAGCATCCCATCCTGAAAGAAGATAGCCTTGAAAGGCAGAGCAATGATCCCAAAACAGAAGGAAAGAAAATCTAAACGCCAAGTTGCCATGTAAGCCTCAAAAACAATTCAGAGCACAGCAGTGTGTACTCCCAACTCCGGACTGATGGCTCTGACTACACTTAATGACAAAATTATCAACTCCAGAGAACTGTTTCCTGATGAAATAGTTTCCCTTCTCCAAGGAACAGTGTGGCCCTGTTCAGAACCAGGCCTGGCCCAGAGGCCCCAAGTCATCTTAGACTTTTTGTCTGAGGTGACAGGACACCGAGCAGCTGAGGTTCAAGTTTCCCATCACTGAGTGGCCACGAAACAAGGTCAGGGGAGGTTTCGACAAGCCGATCTTATTTAATAATCCGGAGAAGGAAGGTCCAAAGAGGAGAGGGGGAGAATGGAAAACATACCACATAAAATAAATGATGATTTTAAAGCACTGCACTAAGGGATCAACAATACTGAAAAAAAAAAAGTGAAATGGAAAGAACAAAAGGGTGGAAATCACATTCTAGTTCCGGGAAAAGACATTTCAAGCAACATGTTATACAGACATACTGCAGGCCAAGGACCCCTCCTGTGCACACCATGGGAAAGGTGGCCACTCACCCTCCTTCCCACCAGAAAAAAAGCCCAAGGGACACGCGTTCAGCAGAGGCCTGAGGTAGCAATCACAGCCATCTCTATTCTGGGGATGCCTAGCAAGTTCCTGGCACCCAGCAAGGGTAAGACAAGAGACAGATTTTCTCCTAGAGTTCTTGGTATGAAATTAGTCAAGTGAAAAAAAAAAGTTTCAACTATTTGACAGCACAAGACTTTGCAGCTCGGAGCCCTCTGGAAAGCTCTGGAGAGGAGAAATATGATGAATCATTCACCAGGATGGTGAAAAATGAGCGGGTCCACATTTGTGAATTTTCCAAGAACATTTACATCTTCCACTCCAAGAGCACAAATTTTAGAATTTTGACCATGTGAAAGCATTTCCTCAAAATATACTAGATTAACCATAT